TTATGTAGATGATATCCTAGCAGGCGACGATACTATTGCAGGTCTCCTTAAACGACAGAAAGACATTATGGGTTTATTGTATAGCGCAGGTTTTGAACTAAAAAGATGGTCTACTAATTGTATTGACCTGTTGAATAATATACCATTTGAAAATAGGTCGCTTCAAACATCTTTCGATCCTAAAGACGACACGTCTATTAAAATATTGGGTTTACGCTGGATTCCTGCTAGTGACTCATTTAGTTATCATACAACATCATTACCGTTAATTTACACTAAGCGTGCTATTTTGTCATACATTGCTAAACTATACGACCCAATAGGTGCGCTGGGGCCAATTATATTTTGGGCTAAATGTTTTATGCAATTATTATGGCAATCTAAAGTACAATGGGATGATCAATTACCACAACCGCTTTGTGAATTATGGAAAAAATACGCCGATGAACTTATTTTAGTTAATCAGATTAAAGTTCCTCGGTATTTGAATAACTTAAATTGTACTGCACAATTAATTGGATTTTCGGACGCTTCTGAAAAGGGATACGCCGCGGTTGTTTATTTACGTTTGTTACATATGGATGACACTATTTCTGTACATTTCATTTCTTCTAAATCTAAAGTAGCACCTATTAAAACTACAAATAATAAAACTTTAACTGTTCCGCGATTAGAATTGTGCGGAGCTCTGTTATTAGCTCAACTGTTGCATCGATTACACGACATTTTTAAAAATAATGTGTTTATCGATAATATTTATGCATGGACAGATTCACGTGTAGTGTTATCATGGTTGACATCAGAACATTCACAATTCAAAGTTTTCGTAACAAATCGAATCGCAAAAATTCTTGAATATATTCCTAAGTGTCAATGGCGTCACGTTGTTTCTGATCTGAATCCCGCTGATTGCATTTCAAGAGGTATGTTCCCTTCGCAAGCTATCGCTCACACGTTATATTGGCAAGGTCCGTCCTTTTTAAAATTACCGGAGAATGAGTGGCCGCATTATTGTTACGACCCGTTGTTACCGTCTCAATTACCGGATTATAAAATTACAGCGACAACTTGCCTAATAACTACACAGGATCTTGATTTAACATGGCTACCTAAATTTTCTAATTTAAATCGTCTTCAACGTGTTTTAGTGCGAATCTGCCGTTTATTTAAGTACGCGCGCCGTAANATATTTAAATACGCGCGCCGTAAAAGGGAACCTTTCATACTGTCGTTAAACAGTCCTATATCATATAAGGAAAAAGAAGATGTTATGTCAATAATCATTCGTTTGACGCAACAAAAATATTTTAACGTGCTGTTTAAGACACTTCAATCTTCAACTGATAAAATATCACCGCGTTCATTAGCTCAACTGGCACCGTTCTTAGATGATAATAATATAATACGGGTAGGTGGACGTCTTCGTAATGCTACTATTCCGTACGCGTCTCGTCATCCAGTGTTATTACCTAAATCATGCCCTTTGAGCGTATTATTGATTCGTCATTTTCATTTAACTTATTTTCATGCCGGTCCTCAACTTCTATCATCAATACTCGCCAAAAAATATTGGATTTTATCAAGTCGTTCTGCTATAAGAAATATTATTTTTGCGTGCGTCATTTGTGCTAGACATAGAGCTACAGCGCCGCAACCATTCATGGCTGATTTGCCACTCAATCGAGTCACTCCGTCAAGAGCATTTCTTGGGGTAGGTATAGATTTTGCCGGACCCATACTTATTAAAGAAAGCCGTCGAAGAAACGCTCGTGCCGAGAAAGGCTACTTATGTTTATTTGTGTGCACTTCCATTAAGGCCGTCCATATTGAGGTGGTATCTGATCTTTCGACGGAGGCATTTTTAGCATCTCTACAACGCTTCATTGCACGTCGAGGCATACCGTCTGATATCTATAGCGATTGTGCTTCAAATTTCAAAGGAGCGAATCACTATATCAACTCTATATTTTTTAGCTCATCAGCGCAAGACCTATACTCAAACTCAATACCATGTAAATGGCATTTCAATCCGCCAGCAGCTCCACATATGGGGGGCTTATGGGAAGCAGCTGTGAAATCATGTAAATATCATCTAAAACGAGTTGTAGGTACTCAAATGTTTACATTTGAAGAAATGACTACATTGTCCAGTCGTATCGAGGCCGTCCTCAATAGTCGTCCGTTAATATCTCTGTCATCCAATCCCAACGATTTAACACCACTAACACCCGCACATTTTATAATTGGCCAATCACTTTTAGACATACCCGAACCCGATATGACGTCAACCCCTCAAAATCATTTGACTCGGTGGCAACTAATACGCCAACTTTATCAGTCTTTTTGGAAACGTTGGTCGACAGAATACATTACAACGCTACAGCGACGCTCCAAATGGTACAAACAGCAACCTAATGTAAATATTGGTGACATAGTTGTGATAAATATGCCAAATCAGCCGCCAACTCATTGGAAACTTGGTGTAGTTGAAGCGGTACATCCCGGTCCAGACCAGATAGTTAGAATTGCTACTATTCGCACGGCGGAGACCACGATAAAACGCCTTTTTATTCGTTAAAAAACACAAACAAAAAAAAAACGTGTGCCTTCAATAATTAATATAATTTTTAAATTGTCCATATAATTAATTTGATTTTGTAATTTTTAGACTGTGCTCATGTCGTGCCAGAATAATTGTGCTGAAGATTGCCGGAGTTGTCTCTATTGGATTTATTGCATAGGTAATTCGTTTTAATTCCTTTAAAAAATATTAATTGTTATTGACTTTAATCAAAGTAAAGTCCATCTTTTTACATTGTAATCAATTTATTTTGCATATTTTAATCTTTAGAATGATTTATATTTCATTTATTGGTGCAATAAGTGCTACATCAGTCTATACAATCTCTCTCTCTCTATATATATATATATACATTTTTAGTTTTTTTTGCATGTACTACATTTATATTTATGATTCCCTTTATGATTATTTCTTATAGAAATGTGTTATTGACAATTTCACATCAGTTGTATTATTAATGATAGAATTTTTAAATTGTTAATATATTATTATTATTATGGCAATAGCACTATTAATTTGTTGATTTTGTAATCTTTAGACCGCGTTTGTTGTGTCATATTTTTTTGTTATCATATTCATTTGTAGGGATTAACAAAGATGTTAAATAACATGTCACAATGAATGCGTTTATATATGTTTATATGTTTTATCTTAGATGTACACTGCAGTACGATAACACTCCATGTATTATTTTTAGTATCGTGCTGTCCGTCAATCCAGTGACACTTAATATTTGTACTTTTTTTTTATGTATATACAGGGTGTAAATCTTTCGAACCATAGTAATATATAGGCGAGTATCCTTGGAGTGTGTAAACAATGACCTCGTTTTTTTTTTTTTTTTTTNATATATATATCATTTTTCAATGTTAAAAAATTATTAATTATTATAAATTTTAATTGTAGTATTTTTGTAATAAATATAAACATCAAAACACTACAAATTGGTGACCTCTAAAATGAACAACAAATCCGATAGTGCGATAGTAAGTGTGCGTGATGACGCGACCGGTAATGATGGCCGAGACCATATCGAATACGGCGAGCCCAATATGAATTCAACGCGAGCGTTTAAAATCCTAACTTTCTGGTGCACCAACCCAGAACTTTGGTTCAAACAAATTGAATCCGTTTTTTATACAACCAGAATTACAGCTGACGCAAGTAAATTTCATCATGTTGTTTCCTCTATGGAAAGTGAAATTCTTGCTCAAGTTAGTGACATAATACTCAATCCACCAGAAACGAAAATGTACGAAGCATTAAAAACCCGGCTCATCGAAAGATTTTCCGAATCTGAACAATGTCGGCTTAAAAAATTACTGACCGAAGCCGAACTCGGTGATCGGAAACCATCCCATTTTCTTTCAGAAATGCGTCAACTAGCTAATGGAAAAGTAACTGATGAAATACTCAAAATACTATGGATACAAAGGTTACCACATCAGGTAAAAACTATCATTTCAGCTAGCAACGACAAGTTGGATAACTTAGCTTCGATGGCAGATAAAATTATCGAAGTATCGGACAGCCGAAATGATGGTTTTTCCATTGCCAACATTAGTGACAAGGTCACAAACCGTCAGTCACATGAACAAGCTGACGATGCAACGACAATAAGAAAATTGGAACACCAGATCGCAGCACTCACACAAGCAGTAGAGCGACTTAGCAACAGCAACTCTCGTAGCCACAATAGGCGTCACTCAAAATCACTTATGCGCCGAGACGATTCACGACCACGATATGATACGTGTTATTATCATTACCGATTCAAAGATAAGGCTGCTAAATGCAAACCACCGTGTAAATACCAGCACACGTCAGAAAACTAAAACGATCTACTGTCGAGACGACCAACGGTAGTGAGTTTCAATCTCGTCGTCTATTTATTGTTGATAAAATAACAAAAACTCAATACTTAATTGATACTGGTGCGGACTTTTCGGTTTGGCCAGCAGATCCTAAGCAGAAACGCAATAAAATAAAAGATGGTAACCCTACTTTATTCGCAGCCAACGGGTCAATAATAAAAACATACGGTGAAAAATTAATTGCTGTAAATTTAGGCTTAAGACGTGTTTTTAAATGGAAATTTATTGTCACAGCAGTCAGTAAACCAATTATAGGTGCTGACTTTCTCCACTATTTCGGCTTATTAGTGGACTTAAGAAGTAAACGCCTAATTGATGAAAATACCAAATTAGCCACCGCCGGAAAAGTTAAGAAGACGATATCCTTGGGCATCTTCGCTTTTAAAGACGATTCAGCGTACATTAAGTTACTCAAAAAATTTCCGCAAGTATTAAGAACAAACATGATCCCAATGGATAGTAAACATAACGTTACACATCATATCATCACTAAAGGACCACCACTCTTCGCTAAACCAAGACGCCTTCCTCCGGATCGACTAGAGATCGCAAAAAAAGAATTTGCATATTTAGTGGAACAGGGCATATGCCGACCTTCAAATAGTCCGTGGGCCAGCCCATTACAACTAGTAAAAAAGAAGAACGGTGAATGGAGACCGTGCGGCGACTACCGTAGGTTAAACGCAGTCACATTACCGGACAGATACCCCATTCCACACATTCAAGACATCACACAGCGATTGCAAAATAAAAGTATTTTTTCAAAAATCGATTTGGTTAAAGCTTTTAACCATATACCAATAGAACCGTCCGATATTCCAAAAACAGCTATTACAACACCTTTTGGGTTATTTGAAATTGTTCGGATGGGATACGGTTTTAAAAATGCAGCTCAAACATTTCAGCGTTTCATACACGGTGTTTTAAAAGACTTAGATTTTTGTGAAGTGTATTTGGACGATATTTTAATTGCATCGTCTTCAACACAAGAGCATTTGAGTCACCTCGAACGTGTATTACAACGACTCAGTGAGTACGGCATTGTGATAAATACGAATAAATGTATATTTGGAATAGAAGAGGTATTATTTTTAGGATACATCATATCGGGTAACGGTCTTAGACCAAATCCTGAAAAACTGGAAGCGATAGACAAATATCCACGGCCGAATAATGTACAAGAGCTTCGACGTTTTTTGGCTATGTGCAATTTTTACCGCCGTTGTATCCCAAACGCAGCAAGTACACAAGCTATTCTTCACGATTATCTTAAAAACAGCAAAAAAAACGACAAAACACCAATTGTATGGACCGATCAATCAACGGGAGCGTTCGAGAAAACTAAAGAAGACTTAAAGCGAGCCACAACATTATCGTATCTAGATCCGGCCGCGAATATTCAATTACGATGTGACGCGTCAGATATGGCGATAGGCGCAGTAATAGAACAATTTAAAAACGGCGTTTGGCAACCACTTGCTTTTTTCTCTCGCAAACTTGACCAAACACAAAAAAAATACTGTGCATACGATCGTGAACTTCTTGCGGTATATGAAGCCATTAAGCATTTTCGCTATATGCTGGAAGCCCGTAAATTTGAAATAATTACGGACCATAAGCCGTTAATATACGCATTCACACAACACTCAGATAAATTACCACCTCGACGTGCACGACAACTTGATTTTATTAGTCAGTTTACAACATCAATACGGCACGTAACAGGTACACAGAATACAGTGGCCGATGCGTTATCGAGAATAGAAACTATAAATGCACCGCCACCGCTAGATTATGACAAGTTAGCTTACGACCAGTTAGCAGACGCAGAACTATTGTCGTTATTGTCAAAACCGGAATTATCGATAAAACTAGAGCTCGTAAATATGCCCACTACGAACACAAATATTTACTGNATACAGTGGCCGATGCGTTATCGAGAATAGAAACTATAAATGCACCGCCACCGCTAGATTATGACAAGTTAGCTTACGACCAGTTAGCAGACGCAGAACTATTGTCGTTATTGTCAAAACCGGAATTATTGATAAAACTAGAGCTCGTAAATATGCCCACTACGAACACAAATATTTACTGCGACACTTCTAATGGTAGACAACGACCGTATCTTACCAAACAATTTCGCCGCAATGTGTTCAATTGTCTACATAATCTCGCTCACCCAGGTATACGGTCAACAATAAAATTAGTGAGTAGTCGTTTCGTGTGGCCGTCGATGAACAGTGATTGTGCGAAATGGACTCGTGCGTGTTTAGCGTGTCAAAAGTCAAAAATAACGCGACATGTTATAAGTCCGTGTGGTATTTTTAATGTGCCGAGTGATCGTTTTTCACATGTACACATCGATATAATCGGTCCTATGGTCATGTCACGTGGTTGTACTTACTGTTTAACCGCTATAGACAGATTTTCTAGATGGCCAGAAGTTTTTCCAATTCAGGATATTTCGGCTGAAACCATAGCTCGTACATTATTTGAAGGCTGGATAGCTTGATATGGAGTTATGGAGAGATTGACAACAGATCAAGGACGGCAATTTGAGTCTCTCTATTCACCGCAGTGATGCAAATTTTAGGGTTTAGAAGAATACGTACATCAGCATATCATCCACCAGCCAATGGTTTAGTCGAACGATTCCACCGATCACTTAAAACGGCAATAAAGTGTTACGAGACTGAGCACTGGACAGATGTACTCCCCTCAGTTCTTATGGGCCTTAGATCAGTGATTAAAGAAGATCTAGGTTTAACACCTTGACACGGCACCGCCTTTTGCTCTAGGCTGGCGCTCACCCGTGTCTCTCTCGATATCAGCCGTCCAGCTAATAATATGACAATCGGTTGTCATCGGTCGTCTCCCCGCCCTTGACACTGAGATAAGGCCGCCGCCGAATATGGATTACCGATATTGCGTCCTGTTTCGTTTCGACGTTCACCTGAAGTGGTGTATTGCCTTTTTTTTCGCTGTTGCGTTTCCGACGTTCACGGTAACTGGTTTTTCACGGTGCACTAGTTGTATGTCTATTTGAGTTTAACGCTGATTGTTGAATTGATATTTTATATCGCCGTTATTTTTACTTACGGTTTTTGTGCGGCACGAATT